TGTAGTGAGTTGACCCTGGCTGGATGCCAAGGGCCGACCAAAGCCTCTCTGTTACTCCCCTCCTCAGCTGGGCAGGGGAGAATAAATTTAATGAAAGGCTTGTGGGTCAAGGTAAGGACAAGGGAAAATCACTCACCAGTTAGTGTCATAGACAAAATGGACTCAGTTTGGGGAAATTAATTTAACTTTTTACCAATCAAATGAGGATAGGGTAATGAGAAATAAAATACCTTCCCTACACCTGTCCTTTCTTCYCAGGCTWAATTTCACTCCTGTCCTTTCTKCCTCATTTTCCCCAGCCACGCTGGGAGATGGGGAGCAGGGGTTTCTGTCAGTTCATCACACATTGTTTCTGCYRCTCCYTCCTCCTCAGATGGAGGACGACTCAAACTCTTCCCTGCTCTGGTGTGGGGTCCCTCCCATTGCAGACAGCAGTTCCTACAAGAACTTTTGCAACGTGAATGCTTCCCACAGCATGCAGTCCTTCACAAACTGCTCCAGTGTGGGTCCTTTCCACAGGGTGCAGTCCTTCAGGAACAGGCTCATCCAACACAGGTCCCTCACAGGGTCACAAGTCCTGCCAGGAATCTGCTCCAGCGTGGGTTTCCCACAGGATCACAGGCTCCTTTTGGCATTCACCTGCTCTGGTGTGAAGTCCTGCAAGGGCTGCAGGTGGATCTCTGTTCCACCATGACCCTCTGCAGACTGCAAGGCCACAGCCTGTCTCACCATGCTCTTCACCATGGCTTTGTGCAGAAAAATTCATGTTGCCAGAGGTTCAAATGGGAGACAGAGGAATCCTGTAACTTTATTCATGAACAAAGAGCGATTGGCCATTTCTCAATGGGCTCTCTCACATTGCTGGAGGACACAACCTCTTTTCATYCTAATTTTCCCAGCTGCATCACCMTCTCCCTTTCCCCTCTGGCCAAGGTACTTGGAAGGTGCAGATTTCCCAATTCACCTATATATGTCCCCCTGAGTGTGCACACACATACACTCACCCCCACTTTGTATGACATAGCTCCGTTAAAACTTTGTTTTCCCTCTCCAAGTTCAGGAATTTAGCACAGCCTTGGGTGAGCAGCAGTCGATGTCAATTAGTAACGTTTTCTGAAACTGATAGCTTCTCCTGTTATTCCTCTATCTACAAGTCCCTGGCCTGACCTACAAGCAGATTCACACCCTCTGTTTGTGAAGACACATTCATCCTATTTCTTTCAGGTTGCAGGGAAAWCTGCCCCTGGAGCACCTCCTCCCACTCCTTATTCACTGTCCTTGTTCTCTGAAGAGCTGTTTCTCACTGCCTTCTTCTGTGGCTGCAATTTTTTCTCTGCAGTAAATTTTCCCCTTCCTAAATCTGTGATCTCAGATCTATTATCTCACTGTTGCTGCTGGGTTGTGTCTTGGCAAATGAAGGTGTTACTGCCACCTGGAAATATGTCATGCTCATAAGCAGAGGTGGAGGGATGCTAATTCCACTAGTGTTAGTAGAAGTCTTGCAATGAACTAGATTGATGTTGGGATTTCATTTAGTGCATGTTTACAACATAGTGCATAACTAATCATTATGTGCCTGGGGARATGTCACAAATTCAAAGTTCTTTAAGTATATTTTTGTTGTTTAAATAACATTTGTTTTTACAATCACTGTTATTTTGATACCTGCTCTTAAAAGTGCCTCCTGTGGGTAGAAAAATAATACTTGTCATTTCAATGACATTTTGGTAATAGTATAATTTTCTGCCAGTAATTCCATATTTTTGCAAATAGGAAATTGTGTACTTGAAATTCCTCCTTTTCTTTCTGTGTCTGCAGGCTATGTGTCTTTCAATTTTTGAGTTAGGTTGAATGTGGAACACAACCGTAGGCATATATATATAAACCATGCATATTGTGTTTCTGCCTAGGCTTTCAGTTTTCTGTAGCTATGGATTCTCTATCATTCTGAAGGGGAAAAAAAAAACCAAAAAACAAAAAAACAAAACCAAAAAAACCACCCAAACTCAATATGAAACCTTAAGGCAAGGAGCAGTGAGTTTGAAAGATTTTGTAGCTGGATCATTAGCACACTGATCTGTACTTCAGGCACCTATTTAGAAATGAAAGCAGAATTGCAGTGGATTAAAGAGTAATCATTTGTCCAGAAAAGACAGCCCTTCTTTGGTGAGGAGCTCTCAAAGGATTCATTATTCAGTCCCAGATGTGGTGTGTTTTGACTTTCTTGCATCTGCGAAAGAAAACAGGGAAAATGTAATTTTTTTTTGTTTTTATCAGTGTTCTCAGATTTGTTTACCTTGGAAGATAGGCTCTTATTCCAAGACGTTTACAGTCTGAGATCAGATTTTGGCACCCTTGTTCATACTGAATAGCATTAGTTAGGGCTGAGCTGCTGCTCATTCAGGTCAGATAGATTAGAGTTAGTCATCAATTGAGATGGTGGAATTTGTGTAGAGCCCCAAATGGTGATTCAAACATCTTTCCATGTGGCAGTGATGCAAATGTTTTTCTGCTGCTTCTASCTGTTTATCTGCACCTCTCTTTTATAGGAGTACCATAAAGAAGCCTTTGCTTTAAAAAAGTGCTTTAAGAAGGAAATGGAACGAATGAAACTGGCACATAGAGAAGCAGAAGGGATTTTGTAGGGAAAGATTAGCATAGACGAAAACCTTGTATTCTGAACATGGTCCTAAGAAACAAACCTGAAAGGCTGRTGGGTTTTCACAGGACTGCCAATAGATGAGCAATGATTAGTTTGTCTTTTTAAACATTGTCTCCTGCCAGCCCCAAATCCCCTTCTCCCTTTTTCAGTGCAGCATTCAGCCTGCAGGATAAGTGGATGATGAGGTAGACAGTTGTGGTGTGGAACAGATTCAAACAATGTGAATGAGATTTTGATCTTCTGGGACTTCTGTGAGAGAGCGAAGAGGAGGAAAGAAAAACTGGCCCTCATTTGCTGAAAAGGCTTTAATCTCTTCGATGCTGTATGGCCATGGCTGAGAGGGGAGTTGTCTTCCTGCTTATATTAAATTTCCAGACATTTAATTTTGACCAGATGCACCGTGCAATTATGGCAGCTGATGGATAGCTATAAATGAATTAGTCTTTGGCAAACTGAACTTTATTTCAAATAAGATCAGCATCACGGAAGATACRGGAAAGCAAATTTTGTGATGGGGTCAGTGCATTTTTTAAATGCTCAGATTTCTTGGCAGAATAAAAGGACGCATTAGTGCAGAGAGGCAAATTATCCTAATTTCTAAGCATACCTCTGGAACAGACGCCTTGCTCCTCTTCCCACACAGCAAGGCGGACTAAATACCAGTGGTGAAGGCTGAACCTTGCCTCTGTTTGTTGAACTTTCCTTTTTGCTTTGGTTTGTGTTGGGGTTATAGGTAGCATTCCTGTCGCTTCCACTGCTCTCCCAATACTAATTGTCATGAAGTACAGAAGATTCAAGCATGCTTGGTTCCCAAGGCTGCTAATGAGCCCTGAGCTTTTCTCACCCTTAATGAATCAAGGTTTGTTTGTGGAGGATTCTTGTYCTTCTGTCCTTTTCCCTGGCCAGGGGAGGAGTCAAGAGTTCACACAACTGAACAATKACTTTACAGTGTAAAGACGGTGCAGCTGTGCCATCGGAAGCCGTCCTCAGTTATGAGCAACAAAGCTTAAATAGATTGTACTGTGAAGAGGTACAGCTCTGTGAGTGTGAAGCATAGCTTTTGCTTCTGCTCCACTGACCTGTCTGCTTGCGGCAGTGACGGGCCCTTGACGGGAGCTTAGGCAGGGAGAGCCGCGCAGGGCGACTCTTTCAAAACCACTCTCTGTAACACTGAGAGCAGGAAAGGAAGCAAAATGAAGTTTCAGTTTATCTCTGATGGGGACGTACTGCTGCCTTCTCAAAAAATCCCATGCCCTCCATTCACAAACCGTTGATTCTAGTCCAAATCCACTTCAGGGGTTTAATAAGGTCACTAAAGCAAGCCATAGTTCGTATGTTTTATCTGTAGACAATACTCACAAAAATGTGGGTACTTACACAATCACACACACAAACTCCTYGGCAAATCACACATTTCAGTATCTCACTACCTTTTATTATCTTATTGTCTAGAGGCTTTTCTTGTGTTACAAGTTAGGATTATCACAAATTTGGGCTAAACTACTGGCATCTGCTCAATTCATCTTCATTTAGGCATTTCAGTTACAACACTATGTGCTCCTCTGGCTATATTAATTTTACTACACACATATATGTGATACACTTTTTGGCATATGTATACAGGTATACATGAACAAAAATATGGGTGCATATAAATACAGCTGCATGTGTTCTTGAAATACATAGGATATATCAGTATCTGACATATATCATACATTTATGTAGGACATCATGTGCTTCCCCAGAAACATTGTTCCTTGTGTTTATAGCCATACATATCTTTGCAGAGGTAAACAGACATGTACTCTGAATGCTGTGTTATTGGTATAATAGCAAGTGAAAATTTCAATCTGATAAAACTCTGTTAATATTACTATAGATTTTAAATTTAAGAGTTGTAATACTCTGGACTAATCCTTGCACAATGCTATACAAAGGTGAAAGGTTTTWAAAAGTTTTACTAATAGATGAATGAAGTAAAAAGCAGAATCTTCAAAAGAAATCTAATTTTGCTGTAATGAGCTGTTTGAAGGTCATCATTTGGAGTTTTAATAATGCACAGAAACATCTGCTCTTTTCCTTGATTGCATGAGAAAGGGAAAGAGAAAAAAAAATTAAGAATATTTTGGTTTTTTTCATTCTTGAGTGAACAGATGGGGGGGAAATAAAACAGTTTAAATACCTTGATGTGTGTATGTTCAGGTTCAAAACTTTTGATTGCTCTCCCGCCCGGCGTGGTGGGTTGACAGACCAGGGAGCAGTGGCGAAAGTTGACAACCCCCCACGGCTGACCCCTCATGTTTTCTCTCGCCTAATCGAATTTTACGTGTGTTTCCAGATAGCTGATCAGCTTCCCTGGATTTCGCTGACGCCACAGGAAAGCTTTGCCTGAAGATGGAAACACTGGAGTCAGAACTGACCTGCCCTATCTGTCTGGAGCTGTTTGAAGACCCGCTGCTGCTGCCTTGCGCTCACAGCCTCTGCTTCAGCTGYGCGCACCGCATCCTGGTCTCCCACTGCGCCACCAACGAGCCGGTGGAGTCTATCACCGCCTTCCAGTGCCCGACCTGCCGCTATGTCATCACCCTCAGCCAGCGCGGTCTAGACGGGCTCAAGCGCAACGTCACCCTGCAGAACATCATCGACAGGTTTCAGAAAGCCTCCGTCAGTGGGCCCAATTCCCCCAGCGAGACCCGCCGGGAGCGGGCRTTCGATAACAACAGCATGTCGTCCTGCGAGAAGGTGCTGTGCCAGTTCTGCGACCAGGACCCTGCCCAGGAGGCGGTGAAAACCTGCGTTACCTGCGAGGTGTCCTACTGCGAGGAGTGCCTGAAAGCCACTCACCCCAATAAGAAGCCATTCACYGGCCACCGGCTCATCGAGCCCATCCCGGACTCTCACATCAGGGGATTAATGTGCTTGGAGCATGAGGATGAGAAAGTTAACATGTACTGCGTGACTGACGACCAGTTAATCTGTGCCTTGTGTAAACTGGTTGGGCGACACCGTGACCATCARGTGGCAGCTTTAAGTGACCGCTATGACAAGCTAAAGGTCAGTGATACCTATCAGTTTTTCTWGGCAAGCAGTGTGTGGTTGGGAAGAAAAGGACCCTTTGGTTGCACGCTGAAGTTCTCATTCGGGCAGTGGTCGGGAAAGGCAGATGTGTGATCTCTAATCATATGAGRTACACATATAGGTCTGTATGTGTGTTTACCATGTAAAAGGTGTCAGATTTTATTTAAGAAAAAGTTTCACACTCATGTTTGCCTTTCTCTAAGCTACCATAAGGAATATTCAGCATATTGYACTGTTTAGGGGAATTTTCTTATCTACCTGCAGCTTTATTCCTGGCAGCTGGCAAGGTTTAGTGCTGACTACACATACGCAGGCGCTGAGTGAWATGTCAGGCATTCTTTGCATACGCTTTGCTGTTGATTATTTTTCATTAGGTTACTTTCRTTGTGAAAAGCCCTTCACATCACCACTTCAGGAGATTCATTTATCTGTGCTGGCTTCAGGGATGCCAGCTGCCCGTCCAGCCAGGGAAGCCGAATGCCGGCTCTGCTCTTCCCACGCTGCCTCCCACCAGACTCATGGGCTGTGCAATCCTGGAAACAAAGCCAAATTKTTTCTGATCTTCTTGTGGCATTCCAACGGTTCAGCAAGCTCCTGGCACATCTCCTGCCAGGTAGCTGGGAGGCTCCAGCAGCCTGGCCCTATGCAGGATGCCCCGGGTGAGGTGGCAGTGGGCAGCCAGCTCTCAGGGTGCTCTGGAGGCTCTCCAGAGGCAGTCAGCAGAGGCAGAGCTCCCGCTGAACAATGAGGCCAAGGCAAGTGGTTTCACACTCACCTGGCTGTGTGTTTCTCTCCTGCTGATTCCTTGGCTGCTGCAGAGCCAAGGCAGGAATTAGGCATCTCACACTTGATCCTCTACCCATTCCCTGTGGACGGTCTGTGTGTGYMTGTGTGCAGCTGTGGGGGGATTTTTAAAAGATGGACTGCGATCAAGAAATCACAAGGATGGAGAGCAAGGCTTATCTGCCAGCCTTGCCAAAAAGAWTTTTTTTTGTGGAAAAGAAATAGAATTATAGGTTTAACTAATTTAAATACTTTCAGATTAAAGTGTGTGCTRCACACGTGTCTACGATAACTTTAGGTGATTGCTGGTGAAATCTGCATACACATTCTGTGTGGGCTTTGTGCCTCTATGGTATGCAAACATGCGGGTCATATTCCATGATTATATTAACATTATGAAAGACAYTTCTTTACCTGGATCTGATAACTTCCTTTCATCTCTTAAAGATTTTTTTATCTACCAGAGAGAAGATGTTATTTTTGCTATATTTTTCTGAACTAATTTGTTATTTTAATAGTTTAGTCTTTGATGACGTTGGCGTGGGCCATAAACATGAACAGGTGCATGGATTTACAGTGCTTTTTAATAATCCAGTGGGTTTACATCCTTAACAAGTGCTACTATTTAGTAACATAATAATGTGTTGGTTACCAACTTTATAGCAGTAGGATTATACTGCATAACATGAAAGACCTTCAACATTAAATACTGRATAAGCATATTTTTGAGGATATAAAAAAAATAGTAACCCTTTCTTGGCATTCATATATGTAGATAACGCACATGTTGAAAGAAGACTTTAAAAGGCATATCTTCTCCTTTGTGATCTCTGACTCAACACTGTATATAGTTAGGAAGAAAATTAGGGTATTTTTGCATGATCTATGTCTTTTCTGTGCAAAGATGACTAAGCAAACTTTGAAGGCATATCTCAGAAAGACAAGAAACATTTACATTGGATGTCACCCAGTTTAGCTAAACTGGCAAAAGCCTAGTGTCCTTGAAGACTAATTGAAGTACTACTTTAATGGTTAGCATAGACTTAAGCCAAATAACTTGTCTCAGAATGATAACTCAGCRTTATTTATAATATTTGTATGATTTTTTTGAAATGTGCAATTTCTTTGTACTCAAACTGTGTAAAAAAGTTTACACAGGCAATTATTAGTCTATGTGAAATCCTGTTACTGTCATCTTAGTCATGAAGCAGCCTATTTCATGTTGCTAATGCCAGTGATGACATCGGTCACACCAATTATGCCATATATATATGGCATGCTCTGGTCCAGGAACATTAGGCCAAGTGGTTTCCAAGCAGATCCAGCATCCATCCTCTGTTATAAGAAAGTAATCTGAAAGTAATGTCTTCCCTTTCCTCATTACCTCTCCTGTCATAGCAATTAGTTCTGGTTTATAAATGAATCTTAGAAAATGAAATTTTCAGCTCTGTAGATGGGCGTTTATCCCTCAGAAGTAAAGGAAGGATACCAGTGCACATTGGTGTTTGATAGCTGATGGGCAAAAATTTTGGGTCCATTTTCCACATTCCGGCCTTTTCTTCCTACTTCCTTAGGACCTCTTGAATCACTGGTCCTTCTGCTAACATAACATTAGGTATGACATTGCAAATGGTCCTTATTAACATAAAGGTAWCATACCACAGGCAAATTAAATATTGAAATTAATTAGAAAATCCCCACTTSAGGAAGTGGGTTGTTGCTTGCTATATTGCTACTTTGGTTTTTTTAATATACATGGGTTTGATATATAGGTTAACGGAATCTTCAAAAAAATTTCCAAAAGAATGAGAATGAGGTAGCCAATGGTATAGCGGATCAGTTAAAAAATACGTGGTTAATTTTATCTTTCAAAAAGAAAAGCTAAACCACTTGTGGTGACTCTCTTTTGATTTTTCTTTTCAAATCGACACACTGTTGGTGCTAACAACAGCAACTGGTGCTGTTCTGGGTGTTAAGCTGCAATCATTACTTACATTTTCTTGCAGTGGTGTTGCTAATGGTTTAAACAGTGCCTCATTAAGGATAGGACAAAACATGCCATTACAATCTATCTCCTTTTGTGGCAAAAATGAAGCTCTTTAATTAGGAGTTCTGTGCACTTGTCCAGCAGAGACACCTATGCTGAAGTGTGTTTAACATTCAGTGCAACAACAGTTGTGGACATCTCAAAATTAGAAAGTGTTTTCCTTTGGCACCTACATCTCCAGCCCTGAGAGGTGCTTTCATTTCTCAGCTTGTACTGGGGCTGAGGGGATTGAGGCCATTTGTGTTTCTTCAGGAGCAATCCTTTCTTGCTTAACTGCACAACCACATGATACCACCTTCATGTTCATTGTTGGTTTATTATTTATAGTTGTGCTTTGGGTTTTGTTTTTCTTTTTGAACTTGATCATAGGCAGATGCGTATTAGTAATGGAAAAAGCAATAAACCATGGCTAAAACAGAGAACAGGAAATRTAATGGTAATACACTAGATTTCTGAGGTGGTGGTCAAAATTGTGATAAATTAAAAATAATTTTTAGCAGCAAAAACAATAAGGGCTTTAAGTATAGAAAGAATAAATGTCTGTGCTTATGACACCTTATCAGCTCAAAGAAAATATGGCTAATTACTTTTTATATTGATTCTTCATTTTTTGTCTTGTTGCAATAAAAAGAAAATGACAATTTAAGCATCAATTTTTTTTTTCAGAAAGAATTAATAAAATTACCATTGTTTGTTGGATACATTTAGACTGATGAAAACGAGGAAAAAAACCTAATAAAATAAGATTTCTTTTGAACAATAAAGAGTATTTGAGGGAGAACAAACTTATAAGGCATGAATGGAAAGATGTCACTTACTTAATATTAGCAAAGAGTCGTGACGAGGTGTAACAAAAGAGAAAGAGAGATGGTGAAATGTATTTTGAAATGGTGTAAAGCCAGCAGAACACCATTAAAAYGAATTTATTTACTTGTCATATTTACTGAGAATTTAGCCTCTAACATATATTTCCTTGCCAAAAAATAGTTTGGGCACGATTTTTCTAATGCTTAGTCAAGAAAGATCTTTTTCTGACTCAAACTATTGGTTCACCATATTTTTATTTGAAATTTATTAATGCGGATTTGTTATGAGCATGTTTATGAAGCAGGGCAGCTCTCTGAATAGCACTCAGCAATACCAGAAACAAAAGGAGCTTCTTGTTTGTCTGGTTTTCGGCTAGTTTTAGTGATAGAATCCATGACATCTATTTTTCCTACACTATTGATAGGATGCAAGAATTAACTACTCAATGTAACTACTCACAAATATTGAAGGAATAAGAATTGTTTCCACATAGTGAGGATTGAATTCAACTCCTATGAACCTTTGACTGTGTAAAGGTAGAAGACTTGGTCCAGTCCACAGWACTGCATAGAATACAAAAATATGTCTACTTCCCTGCTGTATACACACTCTKGACCAAAAACATTTTCATATTTAAATGACTTTGCAGATTCTGACCAAATATATGTTGAAGATTTCCAACTATTTTTATATGACATTATTTTATAATGTGAGCTTGACCATTAATTGATATACTGTGTACTGTGATATTATAAGAATCCAGCTCTTACAGACCTGTTCTCCTGCAAACAATGGGTTTAGCAATCCTGAAACATTGCTTTCTGGATTTCTTACCTATAAATATATCATGCACGTACACATAAATATATATAAATATACATTTATGCATATATTCATAGTGCTTGTGTCAGTATATAAAACCAATACTAACATTGCATAATACAATATGTTGGTATTTATGTCTATGTAGAGTTGTCTAGCATAAAAATATCGGTAATTTTTAGTAATGTCTWACTCAAAGAATATCTTGAATTTGAAGAAATATACATATGCCTGTGCTTTAAGTAAAAATGTATGGTTTCATATAGATGTGTAGGTCAGTAAAAGTAGAATTAATCGTATATATAAACTATACATTAATACATGTGCTTGCTACCTATTTTTACAATTCTATGCATATATCCTTTTTAGTAGCTGAACATTTTCGTATAGAGACTTTTAGTTTCTCTGCATAGCCTTAACTTTACTAACTTTCTATTTAGTGGAAGCTATATTAATAAAATCCAACTGATATGTAAAGACATAGTATGTCAGTGTAGTAGGGATATGTGTTATTAAA